AAGCTTCAGCTGTACTGATGTGCGAGGGTAATGGGAGAAGACAACAGGGATAAAGATTTGCCTACCACTTTTCATATTGTTTGTTTCCTGGAAGGATTAATTATAAATGTGCCTTTGTGAGGGTCGTATAAGGTGCAGAGAAAGCTCATGTTACTCCTTTGCATAGGCAGATGTCTTCTGCATCTCACTGGCTTTCCCTGGCTAGAAGCCTTCTGGCTGAGGGGACAGGCAGATGGTTTCCTTGAAGGCTCAGTGCCTTGAAGGCTCATCAAACATCAGTCAGTGAAGATACATGGCCATTGGCCAGTAATCTCCCACCCACAATCGAAACCCTTAATTCCCAGTCCAAAAGAAAGTTGTTTCAAACCAACCCCATAAAAGAATGGCTTAAAAATATTAAGCTTTTATGACTGTTCCAGTGAATCCAGCACCCAAGGCTCCAGCTCCATATGAAATCCCCACCAAAGAAAATTCCTCTTTCACTGGAATAGAAGAAATAATAATAGAGATCAGAATTCGCCATTTCATATCCAGCTCCAGAAATGAACTTGCTAGGTTAAAGGAATTTGAGCTGGACTGTCACGCTGGAGCCGGTGATGTGCTTAACAGATGCCTATTTGGGTTCAGATGAAGTGCTGCAGCAGTATATGATGCCAGAAGAAGGATTAAAAAGTCACCAGGCTGTTATGAAGGAGGAGTAATTACTTGTAAGCCTTAACTTTTGTTCTTGGCTAATACTAGCTTTGTTTGATGGTTCCTAATCTTTTCCATGCTGGACTTCATCTCCTGACAAGTTGTAACTCTTGTTTGATAATATAGCAGGGTAAAGCACTTACTGCCTACTTGTGAGTCAGGCCTGCTCTAATCAGAGTTAGTCTTCAGGACAGAAACCGTGTTTCTGCATTTCCGTGCTCACCCATACCTGTGTTCTTGGTTTCCATTTCAGTTTGTAAAAGCCCTCGTGAAATGGGAGTTTCACTTAATTAGAACCCAATTGGAAGGTCAACAAGCAGCTTTCTTTAAGGATCAGGACTCCTAGATGAAGCATCCCATCCAGCGTTTTCTTAGGATATTTACACCCTTTAGCTAAACTGTTTGAGGAAGTTCCAGTTCCATGATCTGAGTCAGTTATATTTGTATAAACAAGCTGGTAGTGCTCCTATCACGGAGACCCAGTTCCATTTTACTGATGCACTTGTGCCCACATAAACTGCTGAACTGGCAGTAAAATATTGCTCCCACAACTGGTACTGTCATAGGGATAAACCACTTAAATTTACACTTTGCTTTGACATGAACCTCTGGAAATGTGTTTCAGTGATTGAGCAGAAAAAAAGTTTAAAATGGAGAAAACTGTTCCACGGCACCTGAGAGCACTGACAGACATGGCTTCTTTTTTTTCTTTTTTTCTGCTAACAGGCAGTTTCTTTATTTTTCAGGTAGACAAGGTAATCTTATGCTTAATGATTATTTAAAATAATAACTTGTGATATGAAACTCAGGAAAACCTTGACATCTTGTTTAAATAGATTCTCTGATAAATCAAAGGATTTTGTAGCTGAGCTGATTAAGCATACAAAAACGTTCTCTGGAAACATTGGTAATTAATTATACCAGGACATGAAGGTTATTGGGTAGAGATGAAGAGTATAGAACAAATCCCTTAAACGATGGCCTGCAGTTGCTGATACACATGGTTGAGATTCTAAAATAAAATGGACAATTTTAACTACCAGTTTTATCAGTAAAAGGCTTAAAGTGCTTTAATAAATTGTACGGCCATCACTATAGAAATATAGCACTCCATTATGTACAGTACGAAAAAAATCTTTAGACTACAATAAAAAAGCAAAGCTTTTTCTTCTTTTTGCTGTCAGTCTGACCACATAGGTTTTGCTGTTTGTCTTCAGCTTATTAAAGTGGAAGTTGCGTGGCTGTTTTCCTTAGTATTGGGCCAGGTCCTACATAACTCGTCCATGTGACTAATCCAGGATGAATGGACTGCCTGCAAAAATGACACCACTGTCTCTCCTAGGGTAACGTGCTACAACAAAAGTCCTCAGAACTGCAGAAAGACAGCTGTTAAGTTTCAAACATAGATCTTGATCAACAGCCCTCTGAAATCAGAGGATTTCACTTTTCTCTGCAGCCTGCTGAGTTTATTTCTGTTTTCTGCAGATCTAGCAAAGCCAAAGGAATTCCCTCAGTAGCAATAGTGCCAAATCCAGAGTATCTCCAATCATGGAAACACTTCAGCAAAATGTACCTATGTGCTTAAGTCAGTTAATGCTTACATTCAAGGAAGTGCTTATGTGCTTTCTTTACTTAGAGCTTGCTGCCCTCTAATATTACAAGGCTCTTGGTCTGAGACAGGAGGATGTCTAATAAAAAAGTTCTAATGATTCATTAAGTCAAATTCAGTAGGCAAACTGACCAGTAAGAAGCTGACTTCTTGTGTAGCAAACCAAGTGTTTTTAAAAGAATGGTGATATCTGTCATGTAAATGTCAATGAATGCTCTTTGCAGGGCTGTAGGAAGCTGACCAAATATTAGCAGGCTCATCCGGGGCAGATGAAGAGATTTAGAGGGGAAAGTGAGACCAAATCGCTCCTGTTTCAGTAAACCAGGTTCCTGTTCTGCTTCTGGATGAGAAGAAATGTGTAGGCTTTGCTGTTTTCTTGAAAAGTCTATAATCTAAAGTGGATCTTCTTTGGATTCCTTATTTCATTGTTACAGCACTTCAGGATGTAACCCTAACAGACTGGTATTTTGATTCAGCTAAGGGGAAATCAATCCACCCAGGAGGTGGCATTTGTAGATTCCTTTCTACCAGAATTAAAATGTATGCCAAGCATTGGAGACTTGCAGGATTTAACAGTGTAGCTGCTAAACTGATGTTATATTTTAAATATAGAATCTACTTGACAGAAAAGGTGTTGTGCTGATAATTCACTACTACATGCTGGTGTTTTCATTGAGCACCCTCTTAGCTTTTCCTTTTCCTTTTTCTCTTTTTGCCTTCTAATTTTTTCATTTTAATTTTTGTCCAGTCATGGCAGTTTGCTCGTTTATGAGAACTAATTCTACCATCCAGTAGTGATGCATGAATTAAACATGAGCGAACACATCTTAATTCCTTATATCAAATTTATGGCTGCCGTCCTTTGAAAGCTCTGTTTTCCTCTCTCCTGCATGTTTTGTTTCTTTCCTTTTTTCTTAATTGCCTAACACCTGCCTTCCAAAGCTGTTTGCTTTTCCAGCCCTGAGTAGCACTATGTGCCCGCTTAACAGGGTTGTAGTAAAGTTGTCTGTCAGCAGTAGTCATTTGGTATAATGACAGATATTGATTATTTATTACTTGAAAACATTTAATTAAATTTGACTGCATAATTAACGTGCTAGCAGCCAGCCATGCTAAAAGGGCAGTGAATCTATAATTTGCAAAATCCTCAAGCTGCAGACCTTTGTGAGAAAGCTGATAAAAGAATCTGTCTGTGTGTAGGGGGTTTTAGAGATTTTTAGGTGTTCCTGAGTTTCAGATGAATCTGTGTATTATATATTGCCCTTACCTTACACAGAACCTTAAATCCTGACCCTGGTGGGATTCCCAAAAGACACTGGAACTGACAGAGGTCTGAGGGCAAGGTCTGTTTTAAAATACTAAAGACAGTCTAGCACTAGATGCATTGTCATTCATTTACCTTCTGAACCTATAGTTAATGTCTTCAGTATGACTTAGGAAGAGAGGTTGTGAGTAGCATTATGTAATCCACATGTATTTTAACTAACCTCTATTGTTATCTACCCTAATTAGGTAATATTTTTTGTCTTTCAACATTATATGTTGTTAAACTTTCTAAAAGGAAAGCGATGTTTAGGTCAAAAGGAATCTGATATTCAACTGAAACTTAGAATTGGCCAGTATGCACTAATTTCTCTCTGTATGCTTCTTGTATATTAGCACTTGTTGAAATATTTCTAGCCTGTGACGTGCATCTGTCTTTAAATAACTTAGAAATAACTTGGAAAGCTGAAGCACTATGTCGATACGAAATTATAGAGGTGTAGACCATAGTGCTAGGAATAGTAATACAAGAGCAAAGTTTCTTGATGGAGGAAGAGAGTGAAATGGGGTGCGTGTGTCTTAGAAAAGCAATTTCTCTCTTTGGCTGTAGAACAGAAACTATCTTTGATCTCCTGGCCAGTGTTCCTCCAGGGGCAGTGATTAGCAGCCCTTCAGGGGCTGTGGTTCAGTGGACCGTACCAAAGTACTGAATACCTTCTGCATGCTGTAACTGAACAGAAAGATTGGAAAGACAGGAGAGAGGTTTCTAAGTGGATGGGAAGTTTAGAAGGGGATGGTATGACCAGGGAAAGAGTGGGGAAGGTGATCAGATAATGTGGTTTAAAAGGCACCCTGTTTACTTATGGAATTGCTTTTGGATAGCTTTAACTTTCAGTTGTGAAATTTTTAAAGTTTTGTTAGGGAGGTGAGACATTGCATAGGAATGACAAGTAACCTATTTATTTCTTATCCAGGTGATAGTCAAAGTATTCAATGAGTACTTCATATGTTTGCCCTGCATTAGCAAAGCATTGCTGCAGTTCAGTTGAGCCACATAAAGTGGCTACTGAAACAAGCATTGCTTTTGCTCTGTTAACCTTCCTCTTCCTACTCCCTCAGGGAGTGTGAATAATTGATTGTGCTGCATACAACCCTTTGTACATCACCTGTGTATGTATGTGTGCACATGTGACAGTGTTTATCATAGATAAATGCAAGGTGGCATTAAGGCCTGCATTTTCTTTTCTTTTGTGAATGTAATGCAAAAAAAAAAAAGAATAAACTGCATGTAAACACATAGCCACACTTAAATACTTTTGGCAAGAATTAATGCTTGTCCCTAACTTACCACATAGCTCCACTAAAGTTATAGTAAATGTCCCTTTGAATCCGTAAGCAGATTTGATCTAACTCGCATCACCTTTTCTTTTATTAGTGACAGAGTGTCGAGGGGTCTTGGACAATAACCAGAGGTTTTCTTCATTACCAACGTACCTACCTGTGAGCTACCGGATCTTCAGTGCTGAGACATCTTTCTTTCTCAAAGAAGCCAACCAGGACTTCATGAGAAATTCCAGTTTGCAGTCCAGGGTGGAGTCGTTCTTCCCATATAAAGCCAAGAGACCACCAATATTAAATGCCAGCTATGGACCTTTTTCTGTTGAGCAAGTTGTGCCCCAGGACCTAATGTTAAATTCAAACTTTTTTGGATCTGCCAACAAGTTTACTTATAACTGGAAGCTTAAGGCCTACATAATGAGCGACAAAATTTACCTGAGCAAGCCCAAAGTCCAGGTCCTGTTCTACATCGTGGGCAGGGACTGGGATGACTATAGCACCACGGAACGGCTGCCCTGCCTGCGGGTGTTTGCCTTCCGAGAGACGCGGGAAGTCAGAGGCAGCTGCAGGCTAAAAGGGGATTTGGGGTTGTGTGTGGCAGAGCTGGAGCTCCTGCCAAGCTGGTTTAACCCGCCGATGGTCGTCACGGGCCGTAAGAAGCCACCAGATCAGTTTGAAGGGAGCCCTGTTGAGCTTTACTATACTATCCAACCAGGAGACGAGAAGGGAGAGTGTACTGCCGAGGATATAAGGAAGGGAAATGCTATTCGGCCAGGAAAAGATGGCATGGATGAAACCGTGTCCCACTTACAGAGGATTGGATCCGTCAGCCTCTATCGTGGCCAGGAGACTTCTCAGCTAACGGAGCTACGGCTGGATAGTAATATTGTTGTCTGGTTGCCCTCAAAGCCTGTCAAACAAGGAGAGGTTGTGAATGTTTATGTGACAATTGCCAACAATTCTACGGTGGATCAGTTCATACTCAGGTACGGTAGGCTGTTTCTGCATGTTTCTAATGAGATAGCACACAAAGATGTTGGGGACGTGGGGTAAATCTCAACTTATTTGAAGTTAATCCACACTGAAGGTTGCTCCTAGTCACTGAAATACATTCCTTTCCTCCTTGAATGCTCTGAAGAGGATTGAAAGCCTCTGTCACTAGGAGGCTTTTAACACGCATGCCATGCTGTTCATCACATGCCCACATTATGCAACAATGTACAATATATGACAATTCACTGCTTTAGTGGGGCCATTTCTGTGCAATGACAGACACTAAGGCACCAGAAAAGTTCTCTGTTTTACAGAGCTTTTAAAATCAGGTTTTTATTGCACATGCATGGAGTTAAAACGTAGCAAAACTTCAATTACCTGCTTTGCTTTAAGTGTTCTGGCAGTGCTTTGCCTCTCCCACACAGAGTGGTTTTGTTATGAGAGCTCTTTAGGGAGGGGTTTAACTATCTACTTGCAGTTAAGTAGCGTTTGTCTTTGCCAACACGTATACCCTTTAAAATAAGCTAAAAGGGGATTTGGGGTTGTGTGTGGCAGAGCTGGAGCTCCTGCCAAGCTGGTTTAACCCGCCGATGGTCGTCACGGGCCGTAAGAAGCCACCAGATCAGTTTGAAGGGAGCCCTGTTGAGCTTTACTATACTATCCAACCAGGAGACGAGAAGGGAGAGTGTACTGCCGAGGATATAAGGAAGGGAAATGCTATTCGGCCAGGAAAAGATGGCATGGATGAAACCGTGTCCCACTTACAGAGGATTGGATCCGTCAGCCTCTATCGTGGCCAGGAGACTTCTCAGCTAACGGAGCTACGGCTGGATAGTAATATTGTTGTCTGGTTGCCCTCAAAGCCTGTCAAACAAGGAGAGGTTGTGAATGTTTATGTGACAATTGCCAACAATTCTACGGTGGATCAGTTCATACTCAGGTACGGTAGGCTGTTTCTGCATGTTTCTAATGAGATAGCACACAAAGATGTTGGGGACGTGGGGTAAATCTCAACTTATTTGAAGTTAATCCACACTGAAGGTTGCTCCTAGTCACTGAAATACATTCCTTTCCTCCTTGAATGCTCTGAAGAGGATTGAAAGCCTCTGTCACTAGGAGGCTTTTAACACGCATGCCATGCTGTTCATCACATGCCCACATTATGCAACAATGTACAATATATGACAATTCACTGCTTTAGTGGGGCCATTTCTGTGCAATGACAGACACTAAGGCACCAGAAAAGTTCTCTGTTTTACAGAGCTTTTAAAATCAGGTTTTTATTGCACATGCATGGAGTTAAAACGTAGCAAAACTTCAATTACCTGCTTTGCTTTAAGTGTTCTGGCAGTGCTTTGCCTCTCCCACACAGAGTGGTTTTGTTATGAGAGCTCTTTAGGGAGGGGTTTAACTATCTACTTGCAGTTAAGTAGCGTTTGTCTTTGCCAACACGTATACCCTTTAAAATAAGGCCTAATGTGTTTTATGATGTTGATTGGAAAGGAATGTTAGAAGTGAGTGCCATTATTTTGGACAGGAGTGGCAAATACAGGACCTGGGAAGACGAGAAATGCCTTACTGGGTCAGATCGCTTTCCTTTTATTTTCTTCTTCAGCGGTTTCCCTACTGATCAGATGAAAATCCTTTGAGAGTGACAAAGACTGGGAAACTTGTTAATCACTGAAATATTTGATGTATCTTTTTTTTTTCCTGGTTACCAGGCTTTAAATTCAAGGGAAATTTCCACGGTGATAAGCAACAATTGCTCTTTAAAGCCTCAGGGAATCAGAGTTTCCCAAAAGATTCTGCACATGAAAGTATTTATTTCTAAGGCTTATATGAATTAGATTAATACATAGTTGACGACTACCGAGGAGAATAGCCTTTAGAACAGGAAGTGTCGCTTGGCAGATAAAAGGCTTTTATTTTAAAAAAGAGGGATTTTAGTCATCCCAGAACCGTGCTGATGTTTGCAGCTTTGGTTAAGTTGCTGAGATAATCTCCCAGACACCTGTTTACTGAGTGAAACCTCCGTTATAGAAGTCTTTTCTGATGGTGTTGCTTATCTCTTATTGAAAAAATTCTTTTTCGTAAAATAGTAGAAACGGAATACTTCTCACATAATGAGCATAGCTGTGGTGAAAGAAGAAATCCAAAGGCAATGAACTGGGTGTTTGCTGGGTGGATGGGAGAGGAGATCACCCTTTGAAGCTCTGTTTCACAGCCTTTATTTTCCTGAAAAGTGAGTTGAAGATAAACAAGCTTGTTGAAATCTGATGATGTATTTCTTTGCTCAGAAATTATTCTGACCGCCTAGGCAAGGATATCATTTGCATGCTGAGAGGTGCAATAGATAGAAATGGTAATGTGGGATGTCAGTAGTTGCATGTGTGACTTGCGGTTATGGACAAAATGGATTTGCTTTGGTTTTGAGAACAGGTGACTGATTCATTTGAAGTGAATAGTCTGACATTCATTGGTATGTTGGTTGTTCTGTGTTATCACAAATGCAGAGTTCAGACCATGTTCTCTTGCTGAAACACCCTTTTGATGAAAAGAGGATTTGTGGTTTTTGCTTAAAATTACTTTGAACCAGATACAAGAACAGAAGAGGCTGAAGAAACCAATATTTAAAAATGGCTTCTGCTTCCTTGTGGTCGTTGTCTGGAGATGTATGTAGCGTTGGGCTGACTTACATTCTTAAAAATCAGCACTGTTCAGTGTGCTGCCTCCTCTCCACCACCAAAAGCCAGAAAAGTAATGGGAGATACTCCAAAACAGTCTTGGTTTTGAAAAGTATCTTTGAAAAGCACCAACAGTGCTGATCTGTGCAGTTATTACGGCATCAGATGGAAGCTTTGCTTTACAGGAGGGTCATTCCATGTAAAAGAAAAGGAAATTGTCTTAACTGTTTTCCTCACACTGCAGTAGGAAGGGACAGCTGATACCCACAGGTGAAAGTTGTGTGGGACTGTCTCCTGAGGCATGAACTGTGTGGCCTGTTCTGTCAACCTCAAAGACTTCTTCTGTGGTTTTAGTGGTGGAGTACTGGTGAAAGGCTGGCAAAGCCAAGTTAAGCTTCCTGGTTCTGTGGTGGAAATCCATTCTTTGATGAAACTTCCTAGGTGTGAAAGAGTATGGAATTTGACTCAGGAATCTATAAAGTGCTTGTATCTTGCAGGAAAAAGGCCAAATGAATACAGCATCCAGGGAGTAGCCAGCACATATGCTGGGTCTGCCTGGGGGCTTCTTTAACCTTCTCTGTGGCCACTTGCCTGGTTAGATAGAGAGCTGTATGCTCTCATACTCATGGGTTCCTGGCAGAGCAATCCCTACATCCTATGACATTCATTCACATTTAATCAACCTAAAGAAAACCACGCCATGCATTATCCCCAGGCATAGTGGATTTGTTTATTTTCTGCTTCTTGTATATTATTCATTGAGGTATTGCAACACCCAGTGCTGAAGCAAACAGCATGTGATCATTGCTTTAGGGAGGGAAAATAATAGCTACAAATCTTCTCTGGCAAAAGGAAAGTAGACTGGTCTAAATGACCTCATATCCACAAATCATTGCAATTGAAACTCTGTTCTTAAATTGTGTCTTAATTCAGAATCCTATTACTGTATCTATAAATTTATCAGCACAAGAACACTGGTAAAGTCAAAGAGAATGAGTAATATGACAGGGAGTGAAGCGAATTATGCATGGTAGTACATTAACGCAGTGGGAGCACTGTCTGAATAAACAACAGATCTTCCTCTCTTGCATCTAGTCAGCACGGGACTATCATGAAAGTGGTTCTAATGATACCAATAGTTTATAGAATACAGCTTCTGTTCACAGGCCTGTTTCTGTCCTGCTGTGTCACCTCTGGTAAGTCTTTACAGGCGTTTTCTAATGCAAAGTAGAAAATGCAAACAGTTGGTCAGCGTGACTCTCAAGAGTGAGAACCCTGTTTCAGTCTGGTTCCAAGAGACTTTTAATTCCTCTGATGGAAGGGATTTCAGGTTTGCCATACAATTTATATGTAATATGAATGGGAAAATCTTGATAAAAGAACTTAAGAAATAGAGAAGGGGGAAGAAAATACTGCACTGCGTTTCTGCCATTGGAAAGGACTTCTAGGCTCCAAAGAGAGGAATTGCACTTACTGCTGATGTCTCAGTAAGGAAAATCAGTGTTACCTTTAGCAGTTGGGTAAACTATGAACAGAAGTAGCATCACTATAGGACAGGAAAGCAAAAAACCAGCAATATTTAAATAGAGATCATTTAAGTCTCCTGTGCACTTGCCAGAGCTGTTACAAATTAACACCGCGGGCTTCAGCAGAGCTACCATGATTGATTGTTGCTTTACCGATTACTGTGTATACAAGCTTTTCTAATCTGAGTCATCATTTTGGGTATATTCTCTGTAAGGATTAGAAAGCAACATCCTTAGGGCAAGACCCTGTTTTGACTGCTTTTATGAACTGCCATCACACCCAGCAGGCTACAAATAGGGGGAAAAAGAATAACCATTCTTGTGAGGTTAACTTGCAGAAAGCAATATGTAGCTACATGTGTATGCTGAGATATTTGAAAGTAAGTAGGAAACTTGGCACTTGATTTCTATTTGTAGTCCTGGGGAATTGGTGAGCTGAATGTATTAGGCAACTTTGAAAAGGTTGGCCGGTGTGCCTTGCTGTGTTTGTTCTTTAGCTCTAAATGCTTTTCCAGCCACTACGCTATTAAAGGATCCTTCATCTGGTTTTCATGGTGTGACATGCCACATTTGATCTAGCAGAGCACTGTACAGCACAGGGCCAAAGCAAAAGGTGTGGAAGTACTAAGTGTTTTATGTTACTCAGCTGGGCAGCAGCTAATCTCTAACTCGCTCTAGAAGGTGCTGAACCACCAGATAACCCGATTTACAGGAGGTATTGAGCAGGATAAGTAAAGAGAAAGGGGATGAAGTTGTTATCTGTCCTGATTAGAGAAAAGAAGTGGAAAGCAGTGGTACTTTTTTCCCCCTCAGGCTTCTTATTACAGATTTTGCAGTGCAGCTCATTGTATCTGAAGGGATGTAGGTTGTAAACAGTGTTACTGAATTACCTTTGTCCAGCAAGCAAATCAACCCAAGACAATGGATAATTAGTAGTGATAATAAATCTACCGATTGGGAGAAGGATAAAGGATAAATGCAGTGAAGAAAGCTATTAAACTCATCAGCTGAGGCAGCTTTATATGTCAGCTCCTAATGAGTATTGACAGCAGTGCTGTGCTAGGTAGCATTGGGAACAGCTGAAAACCTAGATGAAGATGCATACACAGAGCAGCGCTACAGAATACCCAGAGCTAGAAAAAGTAGTTATGATCACAACATCAGTGTACTCCTGGCTTGTAAATCTAAGTATTTCGAAGTCTAGATTGTGATCTGGTTATAAATAGCCATTTTGGAGAAACTGGTCATGGAAAAGGGGGATCTCCAGCACAAACAGTGCCTGTTTTGCATGGAAGACCTATTTGAGACTCCCTGGGGAGTAACCACTCAGAGGAGCTGTCTGTGCTTGGCACTGCCCTCAGCTCTTCTATCCACTGTATTTAAGCAAAACAAAAGTAGTAACACTTTCAAGCAATTACTGTTTAATTTTAGATACTGATATTTTAATCTTACCTTACGATGAAATAACCTTTAGTATCCTGAAATTTACCTGTGTTTAATTATTGGTTTATCATTTTGTAGTGCTGCAGTATGGTGGTGTCACTGCAAATCCAAGTGATGTAATGACTAACTCAAGCCAAAGTTAACCAGAGAATATAAGACCAAAACCGGGGCTGAGTTTACTCTGCATTTTGTATTAACCCATCATTTGGGATGTATTATCCCAAGTACCTTTTTTCCCCAGTAAATGGAATGCTGATTTCCAACTGTGAAATGAAGAATGTGAGTTT